CATAGGAAGAGTGGCTGAGATAGGGCATAGACCGGCACAAATGAAAGGCGTGGGTGAAACAGTTCACGACACCGCGCAAATCGAAGATGAGGAAAGCGGTGTTCAGGATCGTACTTGTGGTCGGTGTTACCTGCTGGTGGTTAGTGCTGTTGGTCGGTGCGTGTGTTGTGATCGGTGTTGATGGTCGATGTTTTGTGCTGGTTGTCGGCTGTGGTCTGTCGAGGTTGATGATCTGGCCGATGGTGGTCCGTGGTGTTTGGTGCTGTTGGCCGGTGGTCATCGGTGTTGGCGGTCAGGGCTGAGTCGGTGCCGTCGGTGTTTTGCTGCTGCTGGCGGTGGTGGTGGATAATCGGTGTATTGCGCCTGTGTGGTTGCTGCTTTTGCTGCTGGTGATGGGAAGTTTGCACCGCCAGCCAGTGCTGCTGTGTTCAAGTGGGAACCACCGCGTCTTGTCCGTTGCGGCCGTCACCCATCTTGCATCGTTGCTGCCGTGGTTGACAGATCGCCATGGACAAGTGGCTTCCTGAATGTTACTCCGTGTGGCTTCGTCGCCACTTGTCTGATGTAAGCTTTGGAGGAATTTGCGTATGTCGTCGGAGCTCAAGAGGAGGAGAGGGAGTAGGAGGAGGAGGAGGAGGCGGGGGGAGGAGGAGGAAGAGGAGGAGGAGGAGGAGGAGCACCAGTATCTTCAACGTGTGTTGATGAAGTCATCCTCGACGCATCGGCCTGCGCCACCTGTATAGCCCGGGCTCCTGCGGCGGAGGGGGGAGAATAGAGAAGCCGAAGAGGAGGAGGGAGGAGGAGAAGGAGGAGGAGGAGGAGGAGGACCAGCGCACCCGACTGAGTTCATGTCTGTCTGGCGCTACCTGCGCTTCCCTGATCATCATATCACGGGTATGGGGGGGCTGAAACAAGGCCTGCTCCTCAGGTCTCCCTTGGGGTGGCGGCAAGACTTGAAGCAATTCAAAGCTGTGACCTTATTACAGCTGGTGGGGCGCCCAAGGCATTCACTCTTAAAGGCCTTGGGATAAAACTCGCTGTAAGCGCAGCAGGACCAGCAGGCCAACACACAGCTACCGTTATCGAGGCGATCGAAAACGTAGATGTCGTGCCCGTTCCTTTGCCGACAAGCTCGCACAATGCCCAAGGCAAGGCCTGGCGTCTTTACGGACTCGGGCGGCCTCGGATCGCGCTCTGTCCCTGCAGAGTTCGCACACCCAGAGGCCTTCAGACACTTCTGCCCACTGGTGGGCGCCACCTTGATCTTGGTCGCCCCCGCGAGGGACGCCAGCGTCGGCCCCAAGGACCTCAGGGAGGTCGGAGGTCGGAGACAGGAGAGGGGCGTGGACGGCGGCGCCTACCGTGGGTTTCCTCTCGGGCATCGCCGGCCAGGTCGGCAGGCCTTTTGCGAGAAACCGCAAACAAACAACAAGCGCAACAGGAAACCGTGGCTCGCGTCAAAATCTTGGATCTCAGAGGTCGAGGGGCCTCCAGCTTTACTGGCAGCGGCTTTAGCTAGTCTATCAGCGGTATTGTTTCTCGTGGCCAGGTAGTTATCCCTGGACCCTGGGGCCCAAACTTCTAAGTCCTGGTGCGCCTTGGCGTTACATATCCTAAGAAGGGTCCCCCCGCTATGTTTACCCTTGGCGGGCAGCTCTAGCCCCGCAAATATGTTCTTCCAATCGAAATCCGCCTGGCCATACTTTGTTATGGCCCCTGAATGGTCCGAGTGGATGCACGTAAGACGGGGGCACACATTGGCGACGGCCATTGCAAGGTGCTCGGCTGCAGGTGAAGTGGGCGGAAGCAGCTCTCCCGTCCGTCCCGAGAGATGCGTTTTGCACTCGCCCTCCTCATCTCAAACAGCGACGGCCCATCCAGTCTGATGCCAGATCGGGGGTCCCTGCTCGAAACAACTTTCGTCAACAAAACCTTCCCCTGACATCGCAACCTCGAGCGGACCACCGTTGCGGGACCAAAACTCCCAGGAGAAGCCAAATCCCTCGGATAGGGTCACGCAGGCTGGGGGAAGAAACTGAAAACCATGGGCGAGGGGAGCTCCTCGGGGGTACCCTTCCATGTAAGATTCATCTGGGGGTGTCATCATCTCACTTCTCAGGTTGAAGACGAGGGGGCACTCGAACCTATGCGCCATGTCGCCCCGCTCATGCCCGCGCGGACACGTCGTGTGAATGTCACAGCCTGCTGCGGCAAGCCTACTTCTCGTCCACAAACACTGGGTAAGGTAGGACATCAGGCTGCTCTTTTCGGAATTGGTAAGTATGGGATCATCTAGGACCTGTCTGGCAGGCCTAGTGACGTCTAGTGACATCTAACCTTTCCTGAGGCCTGCCCATCTTTTCAGCAGCCTGTCTTTCGAGGTTCGCCTTCTAGGCCTCCTCGATGTGATACTTAGGTAGCGCCGGCGACACAATTGTGAGCTGGAGGATCAGGCCCTCTGAGGTCTCGATCTCAAAGGGAGTCTTCAGGGTCCGGCTGATTCCCGCGAGGCTCAATATCGTGGCTCCTATGGGTCCTCTGCAAGTCGTCCATTTCTTGGGGGGGCTCCTCATGATGTCCAGGACTTTGTCTCGGAACTCACCGCGCACCACCCCCGAAAGCGCGGCCTGGGTCGAAAGCCGCCACGCCAAAAGTCCATAGTAGATGACCGGCCCCAGAGCGGCCCTCCACGTCGGGTCCCCCAAGAGACACAGGCTGATGGAATGGGGCCTCGCATGACTCCGTGGCCCCACAATGCGAAGATATAGCCTTTGACTTTGACGGACCTCGTTGTTTGTGAGCCCTACCACCTCGGTTTCCTAATGGTTGGCTTGGTCCAAGCCTGTTCCGTGCAGCTCGCGCATGTCTGCGCCCGCCTGCTTCAGCGCCATCAGCTCGCGCCTGCGGAGGCGAAGCTTGGCGAAGCGCCCACGGAGAGTGGCTCGCACCCTGCGAGAGCGGGTCCTCCCTCCTGCCGTGTAATCGATGCCTAAGTTGGCCGCCGAGTCCATCCGCCCTTCCGTCCGAAGCCCCGCCAATGGCCCCAGGGCTCGAACGAGAGGCTTTCGGACCGACTGCGACGACGCGAGGGCCACCGATTTGCGATTTTACATCCCAGGTCGATCTCGATCGAATCTTTCATGCTGATGGCGGCGGAGAAGGGGTTAGCGACCAGGTTCGAGGGGCTCTTATCTTGGCTCTGGAGGAGGAGGAGGTCATCTATGTACATGTGGAGGTAAGTATTTGGATTGTCTTGAACCCAGACGTCGAGCGGGACACGGCTAAACCTCTGGACGATGACCGCGGCGAAACTGCAGCCCGCAGGGATTCCATACTGCGGGCTGCCCACAAAAGTTGCTAGTTCTTGGCTCGCCACAAGCCTTGGACCTCCGTGCTGACTCTAAATCAAGGTGGCGATGGCCTGGTTGGAATTGGTTTCGACAGCTCGAGTAAAACATTTATCTCGGTCGATATGCTGTAATAGTTCAAGAAGACTCATGAGATGGCTGCCGCGTACCTGGCGGTTCCCTCGTAGTGGGCCGATTCGGCCTGAAACGCTTGAAAGTATACGGTATCCCGGATCCCTCGGCCCGACTGGTGGGCCAGATGAAGTCTTCTGTTCTTTTTCTCCCATTCTCTAGCCACGGGTTGACGCGTGCGGGCCCAGGTCCAAATCGCTGTCCTTAAACTTATGCCACGATCGCTGGGGTTCTCTGTCGCCTCCAGCTGCTTATGATTGGGGATCAAAGTGGTGACGGTGGCTCTCGCCAGCGTCGGGAAGACCCCCACCTCCTCGCATGCGTTGGGGACATGGGCAACGAGCTGCCCAGGATGAAAGCCATCATAGGTGGACGCCGTGTCGTGGCTGAAGGCCCCGGAGGCCTGGGGTGCATCTTCCGCGGTGATCGGGGTGAGCTGGGTCGGGTCTTTCTTGTCTTTGCAGGTTTTCTTTGGGTTCGGTCGTCCAGATACTGGCTAGTCTGTCAGTTTCGGCGAACAGCAGCTCGGACGGTCGCCCAGTCCATCTACCTTCATCTGGCTCCCAAATTCTCCGAGGTCTCCACGTCGATAAACCCTTGGACCGATTGTGGCCCCATCCTACCCCGCGAGTCATGTTGGTCCTTACCCAGTCCTTCCACTTGTCGGCTTCGGTGGTTTTGTCTCGCTGGATTTCTCGGTCGAGGCCTCTGTCGGCGCCGGCGAAAAACGTGTCGGAGACTTCTCGGGCCACAGGTAAGTTCAGGTTGCCGTTCGCGTGGTCCAGCAGCACCGTCTGGGCCGCAGCTTTGACAACTCCCAGGAGGGTCCCAGGTCCTCTTTCTCGTCGAACGCGCTCGGGCGGGACTGGAGATCCTAAGAGGCATTCTGGAAGTCGAGGTTCTGGAAATCGAGCTCGTCTAGGGCTCGGCGCGCGTCCGTCAGCTTGTTCTTAAGCCAGCGGGGGGGCCCAGCGAAGGATCTCCAAGTATATCTGCGATGCCCTTCGGCTCCCCGCGCTGGCGCCCATTTTATTTGAGGCTCTTGGCCCTTACTCGTTGATGATCGTGCTGATATGGTTCACCAGGTCCGTGGTAAGCGTCTGGTCGGTTTCGTTTGGGGCGCCCTCCAGTTTTCTGAAATCCAACTGCTGGCCCAGGAAAGCTTCCATTTGGTCCAGGGCGGCGCTCGATATAACCCATTCTTGCGTTTGCTTCAAGGGGCCCACAGGCGTCTTGCTCGGGAGCTTCTGGGGCCTGACCGGCACGGGAACTAAGAAAGGCGACCCCGCGGGCGGGTCAGAGCGCGCGGGCCTGTGGGGGCTGATGGGGGCACTGCGCGAGGACCGCGGGCCCCCGTCGCATAATCTGGGAAGCACTTGGAGATTAGGAAATAATCGATGAGGGACTTAGCTCTCTTGGCGTAGAGGGTCGGCTCCGAAGGAGCCAGTGCACATGCGCCCGAACGCGCGCAATAATCGGATCGGAGGAGCTTGGAGGGGGGAGGTTGAAGTCGCCTGCGACCCCCGGCGGCAGGCGGTGCTCCTGCGCGAGCTGCGCGACCCGCGCAAGCAAGGCGAGGTTAGTCTCGTTCAAACCTACCTTGTCTTCTAAGTAGCCAGAATACAATAGAAGCGGGGCGTGACCAGGCACCTCCAGAGCCACTGCAGCGACTCTCCCAGACGGCGTATTGATCTCGAAATCGATCTTGACAATCCCTAGATCTAACCCCTGATGCATTAGGATGGCGGTTCCTTTAATGATAGCCCCCTCCGGGAACAACCCGCCTGACGGCCTGCTCGCCTCGGCCGCAGCACCAGCTGGCGGGGAGACCTTCTCCTGGCCGCGCCGGCGGAGGCGGCGCGCCGCATCCGCCGCCGACGGGCCCGCGGCACCGTTGACCTGGAGCAGGATCGCCGCGTCGATCGCCTGCGAGATGCGCTTGACTCCCACCTCCAAGACCCGGGGCTCCTGGGTGTCCGTGATCTCGGCGTCGTCGGACTGCTTCGCCGCGGGCGTGTTGGTGGCCTCCTCCGTTGGCGCGGGTGCCCCTTGGTTCTCGGGCGGCGCGGCCGCCGCGGCTGCCGGCTGCGAGACCTGCCCACTAGCGGCGGTAGCAGGCCGCGGGGGCGGCATGGAGGCGGCAGCAGCGGCCGCCTTGTTGTACTCTGCGTTGAGCTTGGCGGCCACGGTGCCGATCTCCTGCTGGAGCTCGGCCGAGTAGGCCATGCCGCCGGACTTCGACTGGACAAAGGCCGCGAGGGCGTCGGCTGCTGGCGTGGGGGTGGCGTGCTTCGCCACCGCCGCCGTCGCCGCAACCTTGAGCTGGCTCCCCAGCTGCTGGATCTCCGTCTGGATCTCGGTGCACTTTCTGGCAGTCTCCAGGTACTTGGCTGCGAGGGATTTCACTTTCTCGATGCGCCATTCTGCGCCCCGTTGTGTTCCCGCCAATCTCTCGCGTTGGGCCGCGAGCTGGGCGTTGAGGCTCTGCGTTTGCTGGTCTGGCGGCTTGGAAGCCAATGCCGCGGCTTTCGCTGCCTCAAGCTCCTCCTGCGCCTGCTGATAGCGCGTTCCCCCGACCCCTGTCGATGCTCTTCCAGAACGCGACCGCCTTGATGCAGACAGAGACGGGGTCCAACTCGTTGGCGCCATCTGAGACGTCTGCGACGGGGTCCTCGAACGATACTGATCTGCGAGACCATCGCATGGCTCGGCTCGTCGAGGTGGACCGCGTGGGAGTCGGGGCTGGTGACGGGGACGAGGAGGTTGCAAAACTGGCACCGCAGTTTCCACAATGGCGGCGCTGGAGATCTGCCCACGACCATCCCCCACATGACGGTGTACTGCAGACCAGGTAGCTCCTCTGGGCTCTCGACTTGCTCCGCGGCGTACGTTGATCGCGCCCTTCGCGATCTGGGCGGCGGCCTCCCGCGGGCGGTGCGTCGCGCCCCAGCGCGGCGAGGGGGCAGGCGCCCGCAAGGAGGCGGAGGCTATGGCGGCGGCCCCTTGGGGCAGCGAAAAGGGCTGCCGCGGCGCGCAGCCGGCCGAGGCAGCCAGGCCCGAGGAAGGGGCTGCCCTTCCGCCTCGACCTCGAGCCTCGGGAGTCGGGGCGGGGATGAGTTCCCGTCTTGAGACAGAATGGTTACCGGGAGGAGGATGAGGAGGAGAAGGAGGACGAGGAGGAGGAGGAGGAGGAGGGGGGGAGGAGGAGGAGGAGGAGGAGGAGGAGAAGGAGGACGAGGAGGAGGAGGAGGAGGGGAGGAGGAGGAGGAGGGAGGGGAGGAGGGAGGAGGGAGGAGGAGGGAGGAGGAGGATGAGGAGGAGGAGGAGGAGGAGGAGGAGGAGGAGCGAAGCGAGTCTGGCACGCAGGCGTGCCCGTGCCCTTGTGCGCGCCCGCGCTGCGCGTGGCAGCGGGCGCCCGCGGCGCGCTCGGCCCTCGGCCACGGGCTGCCCTGCGCCCCTCCTCCTCGCCCTCGGCCCGCTCTGCGCGCTCGGCCCCCGCTGCCATTTCCGACGCCTTCCCGTTCCCGTGGCGCGCTCCCGGCTCTGGCCGCGCAGCGCCCTCTCTGGGCCTCGCGCCCTGCCTGTCGTCGAGGGTCCTGGTGCTCCCGTGCTGCTTTCTCGCCTGCCTCCTCCTCCTCCCTCTTCCCCCACCCTCTTCCTCCTCCCTCCTCATCCCTCCCCTTCCTCCCTCCTCCCACCTCCTCCTCCTCCTCCCCCTCCTCCTCCTCCTCCTTCTCCTCCTCCACATGGCGATGCTGGCCCTGGGCACCTGCGATTTGACGCGCGCTCTCGCCACGTGGGCCCCAGCGACTCTGGCGGCGAGAACGCCCGAGACCAACGGTTACGACACGAGACTACTAACGGGCGGCCCGCAGTCGCGAACACGTTCTCCCGCTAGCCTCCAGACACGCTGGTCACCAATGCAACAGCAGGCGAAAAACCTAGACAGTACGACTACACATCTGTGGACAAGTGCGCGATACCTGCGTCTCGCAATGCCGAAGCCAACAGCGCCCTTAATCCGACCACAAAGCAATGCCCGCGCACATGCGTCACAAACATTATGCAACCAACCAAAAAAAACAGTCCAACCATCCACGGCAGCCAGGCGCGCCAACTGCCGACAATGAGGGCACGCAGACCCCGTCAAGTACCAAAGACAATTGGAACCCAAACCGCAGGGCGACGGTCGACCCGCCGATCCATACCACACAACCTCAACGACACAATCAAGCAGAGCCTTAACAACGCCATGCGCCCCGACAAGACCCACAAGGACACGCAACCAGCCGCGACGACTGACTGACACCAGCCGAGACAACGGTCCAAACAGCAACCGTGGCGACATCATCTCCCGCTTTGTGGACCAGCGCAAGGGCATTCCAAGAGCAGTCGCGGTCAAACTGCGACTGCACAAACATATCCAGGAGCAGAGGCGCAGCAGTCGACGACAACAGACAAGCATTATCTTGAAACAGGACACAATTCTCACACACACGAGCTCCATCAAGACGGCGCGAAAACGGACGCTGATCACAGAGATGCACCGAGGCGACGCCAGGGGATCGCCAACGTACTCGGGGCGATCTGCGACGAGCTGTACCAGTCCACCGGCACCCGCGACGCACCGCCAACCATAAGCAACACCCAGGGCCACACCCCACCCTTCGCTGAACCAAACTAGAAATAACAATCTCGCAACCCGACAGAGTAGGGGCCAAGACCGAAATGCTCAAACAGCAAAGCCGGAACTGCAGCATGCTTTGATGCAGCTTTGCGTCGCACTCATAAACCAAAAGCCGCCACTACGTCAAGCTGACGGAGGTGATTGCAGCCATTCCGACATGCGGAGGTGATCTAGCTCTCCCACAAGACTACAGTCCGAGATGTACGATGCCTACGCTCTACACTTTGATCAACCGTCTTCTAAACAATCGGCTCTCACGATTGCTTGACAAACAGCAACAAACCGACCAAGGAAGCTTGGGGCAAGGGCGCGGCACACGCGACCACCTCTTCACCCCCAACATCACGCGGGAAAAAGCCATCCGAATGGAGTCCTCTTGTGTGGGCCGCAGCAGCGCGCTCCAAACAACATTCGACGCAGTGGGGCATGGCAGCTTATTGGCTGCGCTGTGGCACCATGGCGTGCCACCCGATCTCACTACTTGCTCCAGCGCGCCAGCTCCACGAGCAATCCCTTCAAACTGCGACGCCGCACGACGCAAGGGGAGCCCTTAACTTCCGCACTCTCCGAAGATCTACTACAACACGATCTAGCACCACTCATTCTGGAATGCCAGCCACGACAGAAAGGGGCCCAATTGGCGCAGGCCGACAACCCTGTTCTCACCAACGTCCGTTTCGCCGACGACATCTTGCTAGTCAGCCAAGCACGGCCGAACCTGAAGACTCGACTTGCGAATCTGGCCACAACAGAAAACAACGAGGACTCGAAAAACAGCCGACAAAAACAAAAGTTATGACCAGCGTCGGTCCCGGTTGCAGTCTGCCAGCACTGCAACCATGGACACTCAAATGCTGCCCCGCACACGGGAAAACGGATAGACCTTGGCAACAAGAAAGCCTTCCAAGACGCCACGGCGACTGGCAGGCAACATCGCTTGTAGGCAGCGTGGGCATGCGCCGCAGGGCACAGACAATAATGAACGAGCAAGCGCTGCTCACTCAATCAATTACTGCGCCTCTACAATTGCATCATAATGCTTACTTTGTATTTCACTTTCACTTTCACGCGCAAGCGGCGTCCGGGTCCGCGCGCGGCCGCCCGCCACGCCCCGGCTCGCCGCTCCCTGGCGCTGCCGCCTCACGCGACGGAACCCCAGGCCGCGCGACTGGCGCAGCGCAGCCAGTGGTCTTTCACACCCCTGTCTGCCCCCCGCCGCATCTCAAGGCAAACAACAAACAAACAAACAAACAAACAAACAAACAAACAAACAAACAATCAAACAAACACACAAACAAACAAACAAACAAGGCAGCGGCCTTCGATTTGCTGGCCCCGCCCTTCACGTGTTCCGCGGCGTCGGCGAAGCGAGACGGCGGCGCGGCCGCGCTCGGACCGCGCCCCCCCGCGGCCCCCCTCCACCAGGGGGCGCGGACGAGGCAGGCGGCGCGTGCTACGCAGACTGAATCGCAACAGGCGCGCGTGGACTAGCTCGCCACTCGGCCCTCCCCTCCAGCCACCTGCAATGAGCCAGACTCGAGGACGACGCGCAAACAAGCGGGGCGCACCGCGCCTCCCACGAAAGCAAGGCGGGCGGCCTGGTCGGCCACTGTCGCACCTTCAGCAAAAAGGCAACGGCTTGGAGCTTGGCCCAGGTTCCTGGCTGGAGCCAAGGCAACGGCTTGGCCTCAGTGGAATTTGTTGGACTTGGAGCTTGGCCCAGGCTCCTGGCTTCAGTTTCGCTTGTGGGCAGCCGTGCGGATGTCGGGGTGCTGGCCGCTCCAGGTCCTCGGGGCTCCACTCTGCGCCCCCACGCTGCCGCAGTGTGCTGGTTGCGGGGCGCTGGGCGTTGACGTCTGGCGCGCTCTTTTCGTTTGCCCCACGGCGGCAGCGCTTAGGACCTCCATCTGGTCTCGCCTTCCTCTGCCTCCTTCCTCCCCCGCCCAAGTCTCCCAGTTCCTTTTTCACCAGTCCCGGCCGCCGGCGGAGCGCCGCGAGCACGTGCACTTCGTCGCCGCTGCAGTGCTACTGGCCGTCGCAGGCACCAGTCAATTTGAATGCGGTGCGCCCGCTTGTATGGGGCATGGCCGGGGGGTCGCCGGCGCTGGTCGGC